TCAAAAGTTAGTATATGTTGTCAACATTGTTCCAACATTGTCTCTGGTTTGGTTTTGCTTAATGCCTTGCAGGCCTCCTTTCTCTCAGTCTACCTTAACATTTGAATGCTCTTCTCTTTCTGCCGGTATACCATCTGTACAAGTTTGGTAATCGATTTCAGTGGAGGTTGTATTGTTAAAATATCCAGGGTGGAAACTTATTTTTTAACTCAACGACTTGGTCGCCTTGTAAGTTACTGAAGTAGTTTTGTAATTGAAACGTTCACTCATTTTCAGTAAAGTGAAAAGCGTGTGAGCTAACGTCTTCCATATTAATTTGTTTTAATAACAAGTTATTTTTTTCTTGTAGTTTAAAAAAATGGGAGTAAATTTTAGTGAATTGTTTATTCTTGTTAACAAAGACAACTCGTTTTGGGCCAAGTTTCCCGACATAACTTCAGCTTATAAATCACGGCAGGTAACGACAGACGAAGTCATAAACCGCTGGCGTACAGATCCCTTTGTCATTTTTTAAAAATCAAATCAATTTTGCGGTCTATTGTACAACGACTGCGTGTAGTATAGGTTTTGACTTAATTTTTTAACTTTTTCGTGTACTATACGGTAAGAAAGATCTTGTTTGTACTATAACTATACCAAATGACGAGGGCGCTTGTGACCAAACAACCTCAGGTCCATGGTGGTGCATGTTAAGCTGGACCGACGTGTCTGTGCAGATCTCTCTGTCTTCTTCTGTTTTCTTCTGTTTTGGGGCAAAATACACATTCAATATGTCTCTAATTTTCTAGTGGGCTGCTGTCCACACTTCTTAGATATCACTGGATAACCTGTTAATTTTGCGGAGGAGTATTTCGGAGACTTTTTTTTAGATATACACACCTTTTTGCCATCGATGGTGCTGACAGGCGCGGCCTGCATGCATAGGCCGAATGCAACCAGTTGTCCCGTGATGCGGCCCCAATGCAAACACATGTGCGACTTTGTTTCCATGCTGTAACGGACTATTGCCCCCGCACTGCGACCACATGACGCCCCTTGCAGCATGCATGTACAGTGCAGCCGTGGTTATGCTGAGACAAAGTGCTGACGCGGTGCTTAAATCTATTCGTTTCGACGAATAAATCTTCTTCATTTATCGATTTCAAGCAGAAACGAAGTTTTAATGGGACAAAATTCCCCAATTTTGTGGTACACTTTTCTCAGAGTGTATAGGATGAAATATCTTGAGCAGCATATTTTTTAGAAAGGGTGTACCCTGACTTAAAATATTACAAGAAAACAAAGTGGTTGACAGGAATATATGTTTCATTATTAGAGACAATCCAATTTAATTTCTGCTTTGATCTTGTGCCAGCCGTAACAACGCATTGAACCAGCTGTGAGCTTAAGTTGCACATCCCTGGGTAAATGGTCCGTGGTTCATGAAGCATAGGGCCTATCAACTTCCAATTCCTTAATTTTTTTTAGCAGACTCCCAAGACAATGCAAATAGTTTGACTATACCTTTGAAGAACCTATTTCACCGTTGGCTACCTCTTGTCCTAAAGCGTCCAATGAAAAGAGCAGCAGAGAAGTAAGAGTGCAAGCCAGGGTCTGACACGTGCAGGAAAGAGCAAGCTCCAAACTCTACCTGTCAATTGCGATGGCATCAAGAATAAAGTACTAAACCTGCAGGTTTTGGCTGAAACTCACAAGCCTGACATCATCATAGGGACCGAGTCAAAACTTGATAATCAATCTTGAATTCAGAGATCACTCCTGCCGGCTTTACCATTGTTCAAAAGGACAGAAATAAGTTTGGCGGTGGTGTTTTCGTCACAATGGAAGACCATCTCATTTTCGCCAAACTAACCTTGCAAAGTGTCACGAGTGCTGAGCTGATGTGGATCCACATAACTATTCGGCCTCCTGGTTTCAATATAGCCCGAAGCAGCTGGATGATTCAATCTCAGAGATCCAATCCAAATTTAAGTCTGTAATAATCCCGATCCAAGGAGATTTCAACTTATGGGATGTCGACTGGTCTAATAACACAGTCAAGCCTTATGCAAATGAATCAGCTAAATGTCATCTTCTCCTTAATATTTGTGCTGAACACAACTTGGAGCAGAAGGTTAGAACCCACAAGAACGAGAGATCTGGCAAGCAGTATCTTGGACTTGATTTTAACATCACATCCTAACTTCGTCAAAAACACTCAAGCAGTGGAAGGCACCAGTGACCATGAAGCGGTTCCAAGCACCGTCGATTTACAGCTTGCAGTCAACAAGAGACATCCCAGAAGAATCTTGATTTACAGTAAAGGCGATATTGAAGGTGTAAGATCTGATTTTAATCTCTTCCATGAGGAGTTCTTCAATGATACATCTCAGCGGTCCACCAATGAGAACTGGCTACAGCTGAAAAACTTTATTTTGCAGACAAAGGAGAAAAATATTCCAGGCAAGATCTCGAGCTATTAACCTTGGATCACATCCTCCCTCAATTAACGAATGATCAGAAAGAAGGCCAGAATGTACAAGAAGGCAAAATCTTATAATTCTAGAGATGAATGGGATCAGTTCAAGTTAATAAGACTGTGCAGAAAAAGATCCGAGCCTCATACTGGTCATACACTAACCACATGTTAAATGATCACAACGACAAACAGAAGAACAATTTCTGGCGTTTCATCAAAGCCAAGCGCCGAAATAATCCAGGCATTTCACCGTTGACACATAACAACAGGATGGTTTCAGGCAACAAAGGTATCAACAACATATTAGAATCTATCCCTTCATCCTTGCGCCTATTTGCCGATGATTGTCTTATGTATCGGTCAATGAACACTGTGGAGGACTGTAGAGCTTTCCAAAAAGATTTCGACACCCTGCATTCTTGGTCAGCAAAATGGCAGACGAAGTTCCACTCGTACAAATGTCACGTGATGCAAATATCTCACCGCATAAACAACACCAACTTTGACTACAACCTTTGTGATGATGCACTGACGCCAGTTAATGAACATCCTTACCTCGGTTTAACCTTCACACATCCAAGTTGTCCTGGAAGAAACACATACAAAACATCACCTTAAAGGCTAACCAGATGCTCGGGCTTATTAAGCGGAATTTGAAGCAATGTCGCCCACGCATTAAACAACAAGCTTACATCCCTCTGGTTAGCCCACATCTAGAATACTGCTCCACTGTATGGAGTCAACATCATCAAACTAAAGTCAATCAGGTTGAC